GACCTTTCCAGGGTCAACAATTCCTCCTCCAGGAAGAGGAGTTCAGCCCTTCTTTTTTCTAAGGCCATGCTATCTGAAGGCTTCAGGAATACATGAGTTTTTCCATAATTGCCACAGCATCAACTGGTTAATAACACTAGAGTCAGCCAACTCATGGAGGTACAGTTGGGTTCTGTTCCTGGCTAGGCAGTGTGGCTCCAGAGTACCCCTGTGAGCTTCTTCTCTGAGACTTGGCTGGCCAGCATATAGTGACTGTTCCTCTTAGGGGCCTTCATAGATATTGCCTCCAGTCTTCCCAGTCTTCCCTGATATATTTAGGGAATGCTGAGTTTTCTGTTAGTAACTGAAAAAGCTGTCCTGTGCTATGGGTATTCTCCACACAAAGCCCTAAGACCTTCTTGGCTCTACCAGGGCTGGGTGGGCAGTAGGTAAGGACTGTTCCCATTCTTCACAAGCATTTCTCCCCCTGAAAGAAGGTCAGTTGCATTGAAAGCCCTCAGTGACTGTCTAAAGAAAGCAAAAGTTCTTCCCCGGTCTGCTTCTCATTGAAGTCATTCAACTCTTGCCGTGACAAAGTCAGAAAAAGGGATGAATTCTTAGACAGAAGAGCTTCTTGCAAAGCAGTGGTTGAAAACAGCCAAGCCTGAAGATCAGGGGACAGTAGTTCCTGGCACTGACACAGGACTTCCTGTCAAGGAGGCCACCTTTTGTCTCATGATCCAATCAAGGTTGTCTGTCACTCTGGAGACATCACATTCCTGTCTGGTCCAAGGGGCAAGTAAGTGTTCATCAAGGCCAGGAAGCATGGTGGCAGAAGTGGCTGGAGGAGGAGTGGAAGCTAACATCTTCAGGCAGGCACAGGAAGCAAGAGAGCCCCCCGCCCCCTGCCCGGTTAGTTATTTCAGTTCCTTCTTCTTCTCTATGGAGTCTTATATTTGGTCTCTTTAAAAATTTTTTAAATTTATTTATTTTTATTTTATGTGTATGAGTGTTATGCCTACATATGTGTAAGTGCATTGATGTTGTGTAGTGCCTGAGGAGAGCAGAAGAGGGTGTCAGATCCCTTGGAACTGGAGTTACAGATGGTTGGTAGCCTTCATGTGAGTGGTGGAATTCGAATTCAGGTCTACAAAAACAGCCAGTGCTCTTAACTGCTGAGCCATCTTTCCAGCCCCTAGATTTGGTCTCTTAATCATATCCCAGGTCTTTTTGACGTTGTTATGTTTGTTCATTTTTTTTCTGTGTTGGTATTTCTTTTTTGGCCTTTCTGAGACAGGGCCTACCTGTGGCCCCACCTGGCCTGGAACTCACTATGTAGACCAGGCTGGCCTCAAACTCATAGAGATCTGCCTGCCTCTGCCTCCTGAGTGCTGGAATTATGGGCACGTGCCACCACGCCCAGCTTTTGTTGAGATTTCTATCTGGTATTTCCTTGGTCTTGTCCCCCATCCCTGATCTTCTTTCTTCTGCTTGGTCAAGATGCTTCCTACTGTATTTTTTACTTGATTTATTAAGTTTTTCATTTCCAACATCTCTCTCTCTCTCTCCAGTTTCCTTGCTGATAATCTCCTTCATTTTGCTTCCTGTTCCATTCATATTGCTGATTTTCTCATATGTTTTGCTGACTTCTCTATGATGCTGGCTTTCCTGTCTAGGTCTGGAAATGATTTCCTTACTTTATTCATTTGCTTGTTTGTATTCACTTTAAATGTCACTGATTATTTTTCTTAATAAACTTTGAGATGTTCTTCTGGAATTTTAACCATTGTAGAATTTTAAAAAAATTATTAGAAGATTTAAAATTATGATATCAACTAATGAAAAATGAAAAGCATCAAAATAAAAATAAAAATGAAACTCAGTGGAAATTGTTAAAAGTATAATGTGTAAAACCAGAATATGATATCGTTTTCAGCATTGTTACTAATCAGAAGAGGACATACATATGGAAGTAAATCTGAGTATCAATTCCTTAACAGAACATAATCAGGAATTTAAAATATATCATAAATTATTAGATGCTAATCTAATCAGTCATGATTTTTTTAGGTTTTTATTATAACATAGCTAGTATTTACTGAGACTTAATTATAGGGTGACTTTCTGATAAATGTAATTATTCCCCATTCATGAGCCCCTTCCTTGTTCTCTGGCACACCTCCCCCCCTCCCCCATAGATATGCATGCATGGAAAATTAGAAGGTAAGGTGTGTGTGAGAATATGGGACGTTTTTCTTTCTGAGCCTGGGTCACCTCAATCAATATAATATTTTCCAGTTCTACTCACTTGCCTGCAAAATTCACAATTCATTTATCTTTGTGGCTGAATAAAATGCCATTATGTGTATGTTACCACATTTTCATTTTCATTATTTGCTCATTTAAGCTGATTCCATTTCCTAGCCATCTGGTTTTTGTTGTTGTTGTTGTTGTTGTTGTTGTTGTTGTTTTGTCCCAGCTGCCCTGGAACTCACAGAGATCCACCTGCCTCTGTTTCCCAAATGCTGGAATTAAAGGCGTGCACCAACCTGCCCAGTGGCCATTGTTAATATGACAGCAATGAACATGGATGTACAAGCATCTCTGTGACATGATATAGAACTCTGAGATCTGTGTACTTGGACTTGTCTTCAGACCTTCAAAACCCACTAAGCCTAATGGCCCTGCTGGAGGAATACAGCTACGGATGTTGAGTGGTCCTTTGTCGAGTTCCTGAACTATTAGTAAATCTCATGGAAGACAGGTAGTTCCAGAGGTTGATCTATCAAGCCTCAGACTCAGGGCTACAAAGCTCCACAACTATTTAATTTGAGGAGTTCTGTTCTACCTTTCCTGAGTCCTTCACAGCCTGTGTCTCACCTCCTCTTGCCTGTACTTTTTAGTTTGCAGGCATTCAGTACAACTGCTGGCCACATCAGTTTGGTGGGACTGTCTCTCAACCTTGGGCTGAGGCAGGTTGAATTCAGGCTGCCACACTCTCGTGACTGTTCCCTGTTCTCAGACCCCATCTCAGTTTTAGATAAGATTTCTTGCCAGGTATGATGGCATAGCATGTCTTTGATCCCTGAACTAAGGAGGCAAAGGTAGGTGGATCTCAAGATAAAGCCTGGTGTACATAGCAAATTCCAGGCCAACTGGGGCTACAGCATGATAAGATCCCTAGCTCTTGTTACTACATTGACAGAGAACACAGTCAGACATGTGTTCTTAAAATGTGTTATCGATTAGTCCTAAACAAAATTCTCATTTCCTTCTCCCTTGTTAGCAGCAACCAATAGTTGGATTATCTGGGTGAAGTTGTCATTTCCTAAGCAAAGTTGTCATTCCCTTTACCCTCAATCAAAATTCAGCTTTCTGACAATCTACTCCTTTAATTTTCTGTTTTCTGCTATGTGGCAGTCAGCTCTTCAAATGCCTCAGCCCACAGTGATTTTTTAAAATTTATTATTTTTATTTTATGTGTATGAGTGTATTGCCTCATGTCATGCAGTGCTGCAGAGGTCAGAAGAGGGCATCAGATGTCTCTGAAACTGGAGTTAAGGATGGTTCATAGCTGCCATGTGGGTGCTAGGAATCGAACTTGGGTCCTCTGCAAGAGCAGTCAGTGCTCTTAACTGCTGAACCATCTCTCCAACCCCCCACAGTGTTTTCTTAATTGTGTGTTACAGGCTTATTTCTAGTGTCCCAGAAAGGTCATTCCTGTACTGTCAGAGAAGAAGGATATATGATACATGGCATTAGGGGCTAAGGGATGAAGTGGAAAAAGTATAAAGGCTGGAGAGAAGATACACATTCGACAAATTATCAAATTTATTAAATAAATGGATTCAAGGATGCAAATTACTATGAGCGAAAAATCTATGGTGCCAGCAGTAGCACACATATATGCATGTGTGGGCATATTCCCTCAGGAAGAAGAACCCAGGATTAAGCTATCTTTCTATCACCTCCTGTGACAACTTTGTTAATTTGTAACAATGTAAATAAACAGCTACAGAAACTCTTGCTTACATTCAGAGCTTATATGCGAGAGTTTCTGTAGCTGCGAGAGTTTCTGTAGCTGTTTATTGCTGCCTGATGGGAACAAACATGGAGTCTGCTGACTTCAGCAGAGCTGCTGCTGTAAAATTCATTCAAGGTAAGTGATTTGTGACTAGACTCGTTGATGAATTCGGATGTCTGTTTACACAAGCAGTGAAGCAAACGCTAAACACACTGTCTTTCAGTTTGTGTGGATGACACTGTGCCCATTACTTACTAGCTGTGTAATCTTGGACACTTATCTGTAAAGATGAATAATCACATTAACAGCCTCATAGGCTGGGATGAGGATTAAGTGTGTTAATGCATGTAAAGCACTTGGAAGATGGCCTGGTACAGAGGAAATGCTCTGGGAATGAACACCTGTTGTTATTCTAATGTTACCTTGGCTTTCAGCCAACTCATTGAGCTAAATAATAAGTCTCATAGATGCAGGGAGGATTTCTGTCAGAAGTACAGTTTATTAAGAAAAGTGAGGGATCCAGGAATTTAGTATCAGTCTTTGCTGAGTTTCAATTAGGATGTTAGCTAAGGCAGTGTTTTCAAATTAGAATGTGACATAAGCTCTGGCATTGCCAGCATATAAACTAGCCAAGCTAGAAGGCGACAGTTCCTGTAGTTAATTTTCAAAGGTACATTTGACTTTTTACATGAATATATTATATCCTATTTAAAGTAGTTGTGACAAATTAAGAAAAGAGATGCCCAGTAAGATGAAGCTTTTAATGTGGAAAACCTGAGAATATAAACCTCCACAATGTTATTATTAGATATAACAGCAATGGCAATTTTTGGACTTTGGATCACTCTGGAGGAAAACAAAAGTATGACTTCTTGAATTTCTTTATTGGATAACTTAAAATCATTATGATGCGAACATTAGCTGTACATATGTTACTTAGTCTCAGGATCAATTAAAATTTAAAATGAAATTTGTCCCATGTTCCTTTTCCATTAAGAGCTGACACCCAATCCAGCACCCCGCCTCAGGGCGGAGCTCCGTGGGAACGCCGAGCCCGGTCGCGCGCAGGCGCAGTGGGCTGTGTGGCGGGCGAATGCAGGTCACCTCAGGTCTCGGTCTTTCGACGACCTCCCACGACCCCCACGCCATGGAGCTCCGGGAGGAGAAGCCCGCCGAGCCCGGTGCTAGCGACATTCCCGATCTGGAGATGCTGAAGCGGCGCGCGGCGGAGCGCATCGACCAGGCGGCCGAGCGCCTGGGCGCGCTAAGCCGCGCCATCTGGAGCGAGCCCGAGCTGGCCTACGAGGAGTACCGCGCGCACGGCGTGCTCACGCGCTTCTTCGAGCGCGAGCCGCCTGCCTCCTCGTGGGCCGTGCAGCCTCACTACGGGCTGCCCACAGCCTTCCGCGCAGAGTGGGCGCCGCCTGGGGCCGCGGCCGAGCCGCGCGCGCTGCAGCTGGGCTTTCTTTGCGAGTACGACGCGCTGCCCGACCTCGGCCACGCCTGTGGCCACAACCTCATTGCCGAGGTCGGGGCGGCCGCCGCGCTGGGCCTGCGGGCGGCGCTCGAGAGCGTCCCGGGGCCGCCGCCCGTGAAGGTGAGCCCGGGACCTCCGGGAGGGACGCTGCCCGGGCGGGGTTTGTAAACAGCTCTCCCCTGGGGAGATCCCGAGTTATTTTTGGTTACCTGACAGCTGCAACTTGCTGACAAGGTTGTGTGATCTCTGGAGAAACTGATTTTTGTAGGAAAACCTACAGACCCGCTTTACTGCCTCTCCCCCCCTCCCCATTTGTAGTAATCGAGGAGCTGTTCTGATCTCAGTAATTCGTGTTTGGACAGTAAATTTCAATCGTTAGAATCACCAAGTGTCTACCAGACTAGAAACAACGACAAGGCGAACAAAGCTTTACTCTATAGATGGGTTCATAATTAAGTCTTCACAATTTAAAGAAGTATTTCGATGCTTTTAAGCCGGAGACTGTCCTGCAATGTGTTTGTCTTAGGCAAGTGTAAGCTTGTTGCTCTACATTTTCAGATAATTCTTCACTGTGGGAGCTGAGAGTCAGCCATCGCTCAGGTTCAGGGGAAGGTTTTAATATGCTTCAACCCACCCTCATGTGAACAAGCCTTTTATTTTAACAGTTTCAATTTTTGTGGCATTTTCTTTTTAGCTACTTTCCCTTTTCTGTCTCTGGGGCTTTGCTTTTGCATTTGGATCGATTTTTACTTTGGGGAGGTGGGGGTATGAGACCCTGGAGAGATAAAAATGTTCCCAGCAGTCATCAAGAGCCCCATTAGGCTAAGTCAGTCAGACCAAAGAGCAGCTCAGTTTAAGAGTTTGGGTGCTTTATAACTTTTTTTTTTTAAGTCGGGCTTTGAGAAATAAACCAACTTCGAATTTCAAGTGACAGTTCTCAATAGTGTTATCTGTCCTGTCTGAAAATGGCGTTTAAGTGGATTCCCTTAGCAAGCCTTTCAGCTTGTTTCATTGTGTTCTTATACCTGATCTTGAAACTGTATTCGTTGCTTGTGGCTTATTTGTCTTTGCATTTTAAAATTGCTTGAAGAAGTTAAGCTTCAATATCAAGTAAAATGTTTATTCTGTAAAGTTCTCTTTTGTTTAATTAGGTATTTGGTGACCAATAAATCTGCCTGGTTGAACTGGTGGAATCGAATTAGTAAGTTTGTGTAATAGTTGGCGGTTTCTAACCATGGTATTAAGATTTGTTTAATGCACTTCGGTGAAGGATAATGAGTTAAGACTTTGTAAACAGGTCACTCAGTGAGGTCAGAGTTCTGACCTGAAAGCCAGGACAGCTATCTTAAGATAATCCCAACTCTGTCTGAAGTCTTGCTCTGTGACTGGGAAAGTCACTTCAGTCTATTAAAACCAGCCTTCTTGAAATGATGATGTAAATCACTCACCTACCTCACAGGGTTGTTGTGAGGGTAACAGACAAGTCACTTGCAAGTTGCTTACCAGTAAATTGCTTATGAATAATCATATACATAATTATATGCATATACTAACAGGCTTAGTCACAAAGACGCTTTAACAGATAAGTCCTAGCAAATTTTGAAGAACTAAGAAAGTAGAATTCTGTTTTTTTCATCTTTGCCAGTACTTATATAAAGTTGAGGAAAATTTTTACTATAGGACCCCTAGCACATATTTTGTACCAGATCAGTATAACAATGTAAATTAAAATTTGTGATTTTTGCCCCCTATATTTATTCCCACTGTCTAAGTGTCAGAACATGACCTCTCTGTGGACTTAAGCATAAGCAAGAAGCCCCGACTAAAGGGTCTGGAGAGATGGCTCAATGTAGTTAAGAGCAGTGGCTACTCTTACAGAGGACCTGGATTCAGTTTGTAGAACCCATGTGGTGGCTAATAACTGTCCCTGACTCCATTTCCAGGGTATCCAACACCCTCTTCTGGCCTCTATGGGCCTTATATGCATGGGTTCACATACATACATGCAGGCAAAACACTCATACACATAAAATAAAAATAAGTTGATTTTAAAAGAAAGGAAACCTAATAAATACTTTCCTGGTAGGAGTTTGCGTTGTTGTGCTCTGACATAGTATTTCCTTGTAGGTAATTGTCTTGGGAACCCCTGCAGAAGAAGATGGTGGTGGCAAAATTGATCTAATTGAAGCAGGTGCTTTTAAAAACCTTGATGTTGTTTTTATGGCCCATCCATCCCAAGAGGATGCTGCTTATCTACTGGATGTGGCTGAGCATGAGTGAGTAATCAAGTTGAAGATGACTTCTTAGTGGACAACAGACTGTAGAGAACTGTTATGTCTACATCAGAGACTAGGGCCAGTGAGATGGCTCAGTGAGTGTGATGATTTGAATGAGAATGTCCCCCATAGGTTCCAAGTATTTGGACATTTGGTCCCCAGTTGGTGGCACTATTTTTGCAGGTCTTAGAAGGAATAGCCATGCTGGAGGAAAGATGTCACTGGGGGTGGGCTTAGAGAGTTCTTAAACAGCCAGATCGCCAGTCAACCTCTGCTTCCCCATGCCTGCTTGAAGATGTTAGAACTTAGCTTCTACTCTTATCCAGCCACCTCTGCCGCCAGGCCTCCCCATCATGATGGACTTTTGCCCCTTTGGAACTGTGAGCTAAATAAATTCTTCCCTTTATAAGTTTCCTTGGTCATGGTGTTTCTATCACAGCAACAGAAAAGTAACTAATACAGTGGGTAAAGGCACTTGCCATGTGAACCTGGTCACCTGAGTTTGATCCCTAGAACCCAGTGAGAAATGACTCCACAGCATTGTCCTTTGACCTCCACAGGTGTACCTTGGCACACACATACTCTCCCATCACACACACAAATAATTTTAGAAAAAAAACTAAGACCGAGACTAAAACTCTGCATTTATGTGTTTAAAAAGTAAATTGAACTGAACCTGGTGGTGCACAACTTTAATCCCACTGTCCAGGAGGTTGAGGCAGGAGGATTTTGAGTTTGAGGCCAGCGTGGGCCACTTTGTGGTCTGGTTATTGGTCCAGTCACCAGCAGTGCTTGGCTGCTTTGGCTGTTTTCTGCAGTAGCTGGAACAGTAGGGAACCATAACAGAACCATACCTGCAGAGCAGGTGCACTCAAGAATTTTACCTCTCTGCCTCACCAGACCTTGTTTTCAGAGTGACCATTCTGACTATTGTGATATCTTTATTCCTGTCACTGGGAATTGGTACTTTGTGAGTAGAAAGACCTCACTTTGGTATGTGTTGGGGGGGTATGATTATATCTGTGCACTTCGGGAAGATATTAAGATTAGCAGTTTCTGCTAATGCTTCTGGATAGACGAGGCCTCCAAGCTGTAGGCAGGTTTTCCGGTCTATTAGGATTAGTGCCCTAGGCACTTTGTTGTTGTTGCTTTTAATATTACATACACATAGTACATTTATTAATACTCTTACACATATACATACATATCACTCTACATTATTAATAGTCACAATACTATATTTATATTTTAGCAATTAATTATTATTAATGTAGTTATATTGAGTAATAGATATAAAATCTGAATCCATTTAGTTGTGCTTCTCTGTACCTGTGTTTAGGGCTGCCCACTTGGGATTAGATAACTTCTTGGGGAACTAGCCCTGGAGAAAACTAACTCTGCCTCCCTCAGCATCTGTTGATTGGGCCCTAGGCAATTTTTCCCCAGTTTTTTGAGACAAGGTCTGGTAGCCCAGACTTGCCTAAAACTTACCATGTAGCTAAGAGCAGGCTTGAACTACTGATCCTCCTGCCTCCATTTTCCCAGTGCCGGGATTCCAAGTGTGCACCTCCATGTCCGGTTTATGTGGTGCTGGGAACTCAGACTGGAGGCATGCTAAACAAAGTCCTCTCCCATGAACTCAGACTACAGGCATGCTAGATAAGCCCTCTACCAATTGACTTAGCCAGCCCAACTTTGCTTTTTCATTTGTTGGTTCTTTTGAGACAGTCTCATGTAGCCCAGGATAGCCTCAGATTTAATAGCTAGGTAAGAAGGACCTTGAACTTTGGATGCTCTTGCCTTCCCAGTGCTGGAATTATAGGTGGATGGCACTATACCTGGTTTTATGTGGTGCTGGAGTTGAACCCAGGCCTTCTTGCATGCTAGGCTAGCATTTCACCAGGCAACCTACATCCCCAGTTCTGTCCCCCCAATCCGTGTGTGTGTGTGTGTGTGTGTGTGTGTGTGTGTGTGTGTTTTGAGACAAAAAAATCTTACTGTGTAGGCCTGACTGACTTGGTACTCACTTTGTAGACCATTTTGGCCTCAAACTCACAGAAATTGGCTTGCCTCTCCCTCCCAGGTGCTGGGATTAAAAGGCATGCACCACTCTGCCCAGATATACTGTTTAATGTTATGTATTATTAGTGTGTGTAGATACAATGGGGAGGGCATGTGTGCCATAACACACCTGTAGAGATCAGAGAACAGTTTTGTGGAGTTGGTTCTCTTCTTCCATCTTTACATAGGTTCTAGGGATCAAGCTCAGATGTCAGGCTTGCTTAGTAAGTGCTTATCCACTGAGCCATCTATCCCAACCCCAACTCCCCCTTTTTTTTCCTTTTAATTTAACAGTTTGTCTTTAAAAATTACATATCACTTAAAGTGGTATTTTAAACCAAAAAAATGGGCTTTTTGAGGCCAAAATGCTAATAATTGATATAAAGAACCATTAACATTTCTTTTCCTGTAGTTTGCTATCCTTCAGTTGTCTGTAGATTCGAACCTGGAAGACATGGTAAAGTCTTTCCCAGTGGGTTTCCTTTCCCATTACTAGTTTTGATGAAATGCTAGTGTCATGGTAATAGACAATATATGTCAAAGAAATGTACATACTAAAATCTCAGATGTATTTGGTGCTTTTTCTTATTTTTGCTGTGCTAAAGAAATGTTTGGAATCATTCAAAAAATACTGTAAGCTTTACTCCTTCTCTACTAATTAGTCAGTTAGGTTTACAATGTGACCTGAATGAGTCAGTCACGGAGCTTCATCAGTATTTAATATGGTCTGAGAATTTCACAACTTTTTCTAAAATTACATTTCAATTTAGTGTGTGTGTGTGTATAAATACATATGTGTGTACCATGGCACAAGTATGGTGGTCAGAGGACAACTTATGGAAGTCAGTTGTCATCTTCTACTCTGGGCCCCACAGATCAAACTCAGGTCATCTGCTGAGCCATCTCACCAAGCCCTTGACAAGAGAGTAACAATAATTTGTAATTTTTTTAAGATTTAATTTTTAAATTTACATGTGTATGTTTGCCTGCATGAGTTTGTATGTACCACATGCTTGCAGGTGCCATCAGAGGCCAGAAGAGGGTGTCAGAACCCCTGGAACTGGAGTTACAAGTGATTGTAAGCTGCTATGTGGATGCTGGGAATCAAACCCAGGTCCTCTGAAAGAGTAGCAAATGCTCTTAACTGCTGGGTCATCTCTTAAGTCCCAATAATTCTTAAAAATTAAAAAATATTACTGATAATAACTATTTTGTAACATTAAAGAAATTTTGGTCAGAATCAACTAATAATGCTAGGTTGTCCTATGGTAACATTGTGAGTATAATTTGATTTTCAAACATTGCCCTAATGTTACTTCCTTTTTTTTTCCTTGACTCTCCCACCTCCCCACCCCAAGAGAATTATCTGAGCCTTTTTTTGGACTTTTGATACAGAGCTATCACTGTATAGCATAAAGGGGGCAGAAACTTTTGTGATTCCTGCACCTAATACGGTGTTGTGTATTTGCTTGAGTTGTCTACTAATTTAATCTGCAAGAGGTTGAGTGAGCAGAGTCTACTTTCTCTTTAGTGGGATTTTTTTCCCCACTGTACTAGAAATGGAGCTCAGAGCCTTCCACTTACTGAGCAGGCACTCTACCACTGAACTACATCTCCGGCCTACAGTGATCACGACAGATGATTTTTCAAATCATTCCAGCTTTGGAGCTAGAGAGATGGCTCAGCTGAGTTACAGGCAATTATGAGTGCATACTGCTCTTGTCATGGATCCAGGTTTAGTTCCCAGCACCCATGTCAGGCAGCTCATAATTGCCTGTAACTCCAGCTTCAAGGATCCAATGCCCTTCTGACCACCTCTGGGCACATGACTCACCTGCACAAATCCATTCATGACATACACATACACATAATTTAAAAATATTTTTTAATTCCAGCATTGTAAATTAATTTTCTAGCTAATAGGACTTTCTTATTTTAGTGATACTGGATAAAGTAACTTCCGATGCTTTTTGATTTCCCAGTGTGACTGTGAAGTACTATGGAAAGGCATCTCATGCTGCCGCTTATCCCTGGGAAGGAGTCAATGCCTTAGATGCTGCAGTTCTTGCTTATAACAACCTCTCTCTGTTAAGACAGCAGATGAAACCAACCTGGAGAGTACATGGTATGAATGTCAAATATTTGTATAATAGATGATGCTTAGTATATTTCAGTGCAGTATAATTACTTAATATTTGATTTTTTAAATAAATTTGGGAGCTGAGGATGTAGCTCAGTTGGTAGAGTATTTGCCTGGCATGCACAATTACTTGGGGTTCAGTCCCTAGCACTGCATAAAACCGGGCATGGTGTCACACACCTGTGATTCTAGCCCTTGGAATCAGAAGTTCATGGTCATTCTCAGCCACATGTAAGTCTGAGGTCAACTGGGATACCTGAAACCCTGTCTCAGAAGAAAGTGTTATTATTAGTTTTATTTACTCCAGGACTAGTACTACCTTTAAAATTTATGTGTATTACTATAATATAAATATAGTAGCAAAGTACTATCTTCAGGGTACAAATTCCCTCCTGCCCTAATCTAGGATTACAAGCATGAACCACCACACCTGGCTATAATTTTTTTAAAAATAGTCTGTTTCCTTATGATCTAGGAAATTGTGCTTTAATCTGTATTCTTAACCTGATTTTGCTATAGATTAAAATTAATTCATAATTGTACTTTTGCCAGTTTCCCGCCTTAGTTTCTTTTCTGGTGAGGGTAGGAGGTGGTTTGAGATTGGGTCTCAGTCTGTGGTCAGGTTATCTTTGAATTCAAGCATTCTTTTGCCTCAGCCTCCTGAGTGCTAGGACTATAGGCCTGAGCTAGCTTGCTGCTTACCGTAATTTCTTTAAAAGGATACAAGTAGAAAAATGTTAATTTGAATCATATGGAATTAGTTTTGTTTGTTTGCTTGTTTTAAGACAGAGTCTCAGCCAAGGGTGGCCTTGAGTTCATGATCCTCTTGCTGTCACCTCCTCAGTGCTAGAGTCACAGACATGCACGACCACAGCTGACTGGAATTAGATTTTATATCTTTTAGGTATTACTTTGAACAGATAAGTACTCATTTTGTGCGATTTCAAACAAATGTGTTTTGATAGTTTATAGTACGTAGTGGTCTTTGTTCTGCTTTGGTTTTTATGCTTGTTTGTAGCTAGAGGCTGAGGAGCAATTTCATTAGTTTCTAATTGGTATGAAAATTATTTTCCCACAGCAAAATGTTATTTAAAATATTCAAGGGTGGAACTGGAGAGATGGTACAGTGGTTAGAGCACTGGCTGCTCTTGCAGAGGACCCAGCTTCTCTTCCCAGCACGTACATGGCAGCTAACAGCCATCCATAACTCCAGTTTTAAGGGAATCCACTGTGCCTTCTTCTGACCTCCATGGGCATTGCATGCCATGGGTGTACTTACACACATGCAGACAATACACTTACACACATAAAATAAAAATAAAATATTTTAAAAATATTCATGAGTTCTTGAAATATGAAGGTAATTGTAGAACCTCATGCTATCTTAAAAATTTTTATGTCAAAAACTAATCAAATAACACACTGTAATAAAGCCTACTGAGATGACTCCCCACTCCAGAAAGTTTTAAGATGTTGGTTTTTGCAGTTATATAATTCTGTTTCTTTATAATCTAGACTGTAACCCTTCCCTCCCTTTTTTTCTTCTCATTCTGGGGGTTAAATCCAGGAGCTCACATGTGCTAGGCAGGTGCTCTGTCTCCAGCCTCAAATTGTGATTTCTTAACATTATATAGATTCCCTAGAATATAGTACATATAGACAGTTTCTCCCTAGCTATCTGAGAAATATCACTTCTCTGTAGAAATGTTGTACAACGTGTCAAAATCTTTGGTGTATCAGTGAAGCTATTAAGTGTATATATTTTTTTTTCATCCTGGCTGCAAACCTTTTTTTTTTTAATGAATTAATCGCCAAACTTAATTCCAGTAATTTGGTTCTTTTTGTAGGTATAATAAAAAATGGTGGTGTAAAACCCAATATCATTCCCTCTTATTCTGAATTAATCTATTACTTCCGTGCACCCTCAATGAAAGAACTTCACGTTTTGACCAAAAAGGCAGAAGATTCCTTCAGAGCTGCAGCTGTGGCTACGGGGTGCACAGTAAGAACTTTCAGAGTTAATTGTTGCTCGAGTTATGTGTGGGGCTGTGGCTGTGTATGTTGTTGGATTAAAGCCCAACTTGGTTCTTTTTTCCTGTGGTGATTTTTATTGGTGGTGATGGTGGTGCTGGGATCCATCCCAGGCTAGTGAAGGCTTGAATGTGCAAAATGAGTTGGCTGAATATCTAATATGAAAGCCTTTACCTCTTATATATTTTACTCAGTGTCTGCAATAGAGAATACTACAAGTCACCTTACACAGTAACTAGAGTACTTTGAATATTGCTCTGCTAGAATCCTCGCTTTTGCAAGTTTTATCCTTCTTTTTTTTGGTGGCTAAAATTTTGGATTACTTGGTGTAGTTTTTGGCTAGGAAATGATACTTGTATAGCTTCCTGGAATGGAAGGCAGTTAAAATAGACTCAGAAGTTAGGAGATTCTGTTGATTAGAACTGTGAAGTCAGAAACATTTAAGTATGAGCCATGTATGTTGCAACATGGGATGAGTTATACATAAAACTAAACTATTGCACAGTCTGGTTGGAGAGACAGATCTTTTTCGGTTTTGTTGTTTTTAGAGAGAGACAAGATTCTTGTGCCTGTCAGTCATTCAAAACACTAACATCTCTGGGTCTCCATTGGGATGGTTTGGGGGTTTGGGATAGCGCCTAGCAAGTGCAAAGCCCAGGGTTTAGTGCCCAGTTGGTAGGGTAGACGGAGAGGGTTTTGTGGAAGACTGCAGACCTGAATTGAGCTTTGAAGGATTATTCTACTTTCAGATATATGAAGGACAGCAAGGTCTCAGACAGGCAATATGGTTGGAAAAGCAAGAATGTAGAAGCTCATGTTAGGTTGTTGTGAATAGATAAATACATGGATATGTATAGGAGCAAGGACATATGGTCCTGGGCCCTGTGCAAACATAGGTATAAATTTTAGTGTACAAGTGTAAAGCTTCCTCAATGCAGCAAGTACAAAACTAGCACTTACTCCCTTGTAACTATACATAATTTAAATATTTATAGATTACATACTTGAATATTATCATTACCCAATATCTCAGAGTTTATAGTATTCCATTAGCTAGGGTTTAGGGGCTGGAGAGATGACTCAGTCAGTAAAGCGCTTGCAAAGGACCTGAGTTTGATCTCCAGATCTCACATTAAAAAAGCCAGATGTGCTGGGCATGGTGGCACATGCCTTTAATTACAGCACTCGGGGCAGGCAAATCTTTGTGAGATTGAGGTCTACATAGATTGTGGTCTACATAGATGTTCCAGACCAGCAGGGGCTACAGGGGGATCCTGTCTTAAAAAAAAAAAAAAAAAAAAAAAAAGCCAGATGTGGTTGTAATCCCAATGCTGGGGAGGCAGAGATAGGCAGATCCCTGGGGCTCCTGGCCAGTCAGCCAACCCTATTTGGTGAGCTCCTGGTAAAAGGTAATATGAGAGACTTGTCTCTGAAAACAAGATGAAGGGGCTCCTGAGGCTGATTTATAAGATCTGGTTAGGTTACCATTGTTCATACCTTAGATGTTCCCGAGAATTAGCAGAAATATGATCTCTGCTTTTTGATGGCTATTTTCCTTATTGAAAAAAAAAAAAAACTGTGGTGCTGGAAAGATGGCTCAGGGGTTAAGAGCACTGGCTGCTCTTGCAGAAGACTCAGGTTTGATTCCTAGCACCCGTATGGCAGCTATCAACATCTATAACTCCAGTTCTAGGGGAATCCAACATCCTTTTCTGACCTCCGTGGGCATTACACGACACGGGTGCTCTTACACACATGCAGGCAATATAGCCATATACATAAAAAATATAATAAATATTTTTACAAAAAAGAAAACAAAAACTGTAAATGCACTTACCTAGTCATGTATAAACTTCTACATGTTCTTACTCCTAAATCAGTAGAAGAGGACCATCATCCTGCCCCACTAAAGTATTCTCTAAGGGCTATTCTTGTATCCTTTTTTAGGTGACTGATGGTACTTGGTGGTCAGTGTTGAGCTTGGTGACATTGACTGGTGTGATCTGTGTAACATAAAGCTTTGTTTTATAATTTTTTATTAGGTAGAAATTGAAAGTGGAGCACATGATTATTACAATGTTCTTCCCAATAAGACCCTGTGGAATGCTTATATGGAGAATGGGAAAAAGCTGGGGATAGAATTCATTTCAGAAGATGCAATGTTGAGTGGCCCTTCAGGTAATTAGATTATCACTTATTGAGCTGTTTGAGGAAGAGAAATGCCAACTTTGTTTAAATGGTTTTAGAGATAAGGAGGGACTGCTGGTGTCTTGTCTGCATGTTTGTGTGTATGTGTGTGTGTTTTGAGACAGGGTCTCCCAGAACCTGGAGTGAGACCTGGACTGTCCTCAAACTCTGTATAGTTGATCATGAGCTTGGACTTGATCCTCCTGCCCCCACTTCCCAAGTGCTGGGATTACAGGTACAAACTACCATATCTGGTTTATAGGGTGTGAGGGATCACATTTAGGACTTTATGTATGCTAGGCAAGTACTCTACCAACTGAGCTACATCCCCAACCTTGATGATATTTTTAATGATAGTCTTACACGCTGAATGATTAGGGAGAAGATGTGAATGTTCAGTGACTGTAAAATGTCATGTTATCAATCATTGTTTTTAGAAATAGTCAACCTACTAGAAATATTAAAATAATCCTTTTTTTCCCTTATGGTGCCGAGGATCAAACTCAAAACCTTAGGCGTGCTAGGCTAGTATCTGCCACTGAACTGTAGCCCTAGTGTTTACTTCTAATAAGCAGGTTATTAAGTACTTAGTTATCTGGTACATTTTAGAGTCTAAGGAGCAGCAGATACTAGAATTTAATCCTATTTGAGATTTATTTATTGAGACAAGATCTTGCTGTGTGGCTAGACTGGTGATCCTCCTGCCTGAGTCTCTTGAGTGCTGGGATTACCACATCTGGCTTATATGGAATTATGTTACTTGTTTTAAATTTGTATTTATTAGTGTGTGTGTGTGTGTGTGTGTGTGTGTGTGTGTGTGTGTGTATGGAGGTCTGAGGATAACTATAGAATCTGTTCTCCTTCCACTTTTATGTAGATTCCAGGGATCAAGTGCCTTTACTTACTGAGTCATTGTGCTAGTCCTTATTTGGGGTTATTTTAGATTCTTTCTTCTTTTAAACTCATTATTAATAACATTTGAAAGCTAGAAATGTGTTTCCTGAATATAATGGATATAATGGAAGGTGTTGATGAAGTAAATCCTGGAGGATTTGGTGATGAAAGTGGGTTAAATCAGTGTCATTCACTGAAATAAGAACTTCAAGAGAAACAACATTTTGGAATTATGTGGGCTGTAATAAATTATTAGCATGTTAAGTTTGAGGTACTTTTAGGATTTCTAGGTGGAGCTATTCAGTAGCCTGTTGGTCAGGGGCCCCCAAGACATCTGATTTTGCTGATGTGAGAGGTGATTGAAAACACTGCTATTTATGTGGTTGTCTAAATTCATAGGAGAAGACAAAGATGAAGCATTTTGGAGATAAGCAAAGTAAGGAGACAGTGGTCAGAGAAAGCTAGATACTCAGGAGACAGGGAAGTCATGAAAGCCAAGACAGTAGAGAATTCTGGAAAGGAAAGAGGAATAATAGATATTATAGAAAGAATAGGTATGGTGTGGTTCCTTGAGTCACTTAGAAATTTGCTGTTGGTCTGAAAGGAAATAGTGAAGGCTGGTGAACCAGAAGCAAGATCTTCTCTACCCACTGCACTGACGGGTGAGACAATAAATAGCCAAGAAAGATACTTTTTTTTTTTTTTTTTTTTTTAAGAAAGTTAGCTTTACAGGAGAACAGACAGAGTGAATGCAAATATAGGATTTTAAAAAGAAATCCTTGAGAAAAGTCGATACAGCTGAGTTTAGGAAGGAGGACTGGAATTCAGAGACACTTCAAGAATGGTGGTGGAAAGCTGGAGGATTAAAAGAGAGTGCTTGTTTTCACCACACATAAACTAAAATTAGAATGATACAGAGAAGATTAGCATAGAGTTTATAAGGATACATGCAAATTATGAGGCTTTCCCTATTTTTAAGTAAACCTGGGCAATTCTGAACAAAATCAGAAATACTTATGTACATGTACACACATTTTTGAGACAGGGTCTCATGTAGCCCAGGCTGACCTTGAACTTGTTATATTTTTAAAAAATATTATTTATTTATTTATTTATTTATTTATTTATTTATTTATTTGTCTTTTTGAGACAGGGTCTTCCTTGCAGCCCCAACTGGCCTGGAGCTCACTGTGTAGACCAGACCTGCCTCTGCTTCCCGAGTGCTAGAATTAAAGGTGTGCACCACCACACCCAGCTCTATTTTCATTTTATGTGTGTGAGTGTTTTGCCTGCATGTGTGTAAATGCACCCATGTTGTGCAATACTCACAGGGGTCAGAAGAGGGCATTAGAGCCCCTGGAACTGGAGTTAGGACTGTCGTTAGCTGCCATGTGAGTACTGGGAATCAAACCCAGGTCCTCTGCAAGAGCAGCCAGTGCTCTTAACTGCTGAACAATCTCTCCAGCCTGAACTTATTAACTGAGGATGACCTGCCTTCATCTCCCAAGTATCAGGATTATAGGCACCACCCTCTTTGGTTTATGTAGTGCTGGGGATCAAACCTAGGACTTCACACAAGTATTTTACCAAGCTATATGATCAGCCCAGTGAATTATATCAATATTCTGGTTTAATACAGTGTTACAGTTTTGTAAGATATGACCATTGGGAGACATAGGATAAAGGGTATATGGACTCTCTTATAACTTTCAAGTAAAAGAACAAATAGCAATGGGTAGAGGCAGAAACCAACTGAGGAAGTTGAGGCGGTCAGCTGGAGTTCTCAGTGGAGCTTTCTCTCCATTACTGAGCTCTCCTTCCTGTGGATGAACTTGCAGCTTCTCTTTCTACTTTCATGTCATGGGAAAAACAGTAGTAACCTCTGTTGGAAATGGTTCACCTTTAGCTGTTCTCAGGGGCATAGTGTTTTCACTCGTGCGCTTTTGCTATTCTCTTCCCTCCCTGTCACAGAGTTAGGGGAGCCAGCCCATCCTCAGACAGGGGGCTTAGGAGGACACTTTGAGACAAACATACTTAGTTCTGAAATAAGGTCGGGGGCAACCCCTGTTCTAGACCCAGCTTCTCAGTGAACTCAAACAACACATGACAATTTATCAATATAATGTACCTCTACAGAGTATCTAGTGAACATTATCAGAAGCATTATGTTTTGCAGCACTCTAAATCAAAGACCTTGCTCTACCTTTACCTTATAACTTATAGTTGTGACGAATTTAATAGAAGATTTGGTTTCTTCCTGTATAAAATAAGAAGTGTTTAACATGTAAATGAGAAAACCAGGCATTGGCATAGTGGTGCACAACTATAATCTTAGTGCTCAGGAAGCTGAGGTAGGAGATCACACTCTCAAGGCCATCCTGGACTATAGATCAAGACCATGTCTCAGCAACCAAATATACAAACTAAAATGTCAGTGAGAATGTGTATGAAACCTGTAGAGTTGTTTGGAAACTGGGGATTCTGGGCATTAGTTGCTGTTGGCTTCATGTTGTGCTTTCAGTCCCTTACTATTTACTCCCGTGCAGTCTAACTCTGCCTGGCACAGTGTTTGACATATTAGTAAGCTTTTAGTAAATAACCATTGAATGAATATACAGCTTTGTCTTTATTATGATTTATTCAACAAATGTTAGTATCAGTCATGTTTCAAGAAAGAGATGTAACAATTTAAAATACTAGTTCTTGTCTAATCTAGTTGGTAGGATGTGCATTAGCTAAATAATTCAATAAATTATAAGGTAAAACTGAAAAGTGATATTATCATCATATAATACTGTAAGAGCCTCTGGCTGGAGAAATTTGACCTTACTAGGGATATGAGATAAAGCTTACCTAGGGAATGATGCTTAACATAGTGTCTGAAAGGGTATAAGGAGTTAAGTAGGTAAAAAGGGAGCAGCAAGATTGGGGATGTAGCTCAGTTGGTAAAGTGCTTGCCTAGCATCCATGAAGCCCTGGGTTCATTCAACACCCAGTGCTGCATAAACTAGGCAAAGTAGCACGTACCTGTAAGTAATCCCAGTGTTTGGGAGATAGAAGCAGGGTGGTCAGAGGTTCAGGATCATCCTTGGCTACTTAAGGAGTCTGAGGCCAGGCTGGGCCAAATGAGACCTTATCTCAACCAAAGAAGTAAGGGAGGTGGAGAGAGGGAGGGAAGGAGGGGGGAGGGAAGGAGGGAGGGAGGGAATTGAAAAAAAAATCAGCATATGGAGGAGGTCCTGTGATGGGTCAGAGTATGGTGAATGTCCAGAGCAATTGATTGTAGGTGATCAGGTTAGAAAGGTGGATGGTATGAGACCATGTTAAGATTGAAAAAATATTGGCAAATAGAATAGATTCTACTGGACAAATTAGGAGACTGTTCCTTTAATTCAGGTAGAGGCAGTGAGAGCACAGACCAAGGCCAGGCATTGGTGATGAGAAAAGCATTATGATTCTGGGGTATTTGGGCGGTGGTGTTGATAGATGGAGTGGAACAGAAGGTCATAAATTTGGCTTGGGCTTTGTTAAGTTTGATTTACCTTGAAGACATCCACAAAGAAGTGTCAGATTGACAATCAGATGTGTAAGTACAAAGCTTAGAAGAAACTTAAGACTACATTGAATTGGTAATATTTTTTTTTTCATCTTTTTTGAGACAGGGTCTCCCAGTACCCTCAGCTGGCCCAGAACTCACAGAGATCTCTCTGCCTCTGCCTCCCAAGTGCTGGGATTAAAGGAGTGTGCCACCGTGCCCAGCTGAATTGGTAGAAATTTTAAGCAGTAAATACAAACAAAATCCTGGGGAAGAATACCATGTGAGAAAAGGAAAGGACCTGGAATTGAGTCTCAAGAAATCAATTTTCACAGTCAGATAGAGGGGTATGTAGCCCCAAGACAGAGGAGGAGCCATTAGAATTCTTAGTGGTGTGCTAGTGGGGATAGCTTTGCGGTTGGAAAAGCGGGGGTGCTGGGGATCCCTTTGTGAGAGCAACTCAGCCATGATGGAAATGGGAATGGGGATAGGATGAGCACCAGCAGACAACTCTCCAGGAGGCTGGCCCCCTATGCCTGTCCCGACAGACCACAGATCTCCAAGGACAGGATTCTAGTTATAACTTCATCATTCAGAAATATTTAACCAAATATCATTTTCTTCCTTTGTGTGTTCTAAGGATCTACTGATTTTGGAAATGTTACTTTTGTGATTCCTGGAATTCATCCATATTTTTACATTGGAACTGATGCCTTGAATCATACTGAACAGTACACAGAAGCTGCAGGTGAGCATGAGACATAGGTTTTGGGCACGTGTTCTCTCTGTCTTCCTGCTAGTAGCTGTTCTTTATCCTCCTGTTCTTCTAACATGGCCTCAGAAAATACTCTATTGTGGTCATCAGTTGGAGAGTTTAGATACTGAGAGGTAACCTGAGGAATTAATAAATTAACTTTAAATTTATTTTCTCTACCTTTTAGGATCACAAGAAGCTCAGTTCTACACTCTGCGCACAGCCAAAGCTCTGGCAATGACTGCACTGGACATCATTTTTAAGCCAGAGTTGCTGAAAAGAGTCAGAGAGGACTTTAAAACGAAACTTCAGGAAGAACAGTTTTTAAATACAGTACAATAAGAGGAGGAAAGGAGCTGCCTAGGAAACATTAAGAAGTCTCTTTTTTCCTTCTCTTTAACTTTTTCAGATGAAAGAGCGTGTGCTTGTTTTTCGGTCTTAAGGGAATGAAATTTTTCCTACCTGATAACTGAGGACAGGACAGAATGTAGCGAAGAAGCACTATATCATGTTTAGACATGATGAAGGTTGTGATATTTCAGAGTTGGTATGTGATGCCATTTCTTAAGCTGGATGACATGATTTCATAATATCATATCTTGTAAATACGTATGTTGTATATTTCTAGAGGTCCCACATTTCAAACCTTGAATTGACACTCAGGAAAATAAGTTTTGTGATACGGAATGGTAAATGTGTTCTCAGAAGTTTCTAAATTCAGGGAAAGTATCTGAGTATCTGACTGTATTTGTTTTCATTTAGAAAAAACTCAGAAGTATGCTTGTAGGAGACAACTAGAATCTCTGGTACAAAGAATAGGCTTTCCTTTTACCGTTTAAAG